TCTAGGATAATGACACTTCAAGAATGTATACACATGAAGAATTTCAATTTTGATGCATTTCCATTGCTTGGCGATTTGTGACTTTCTTCTACACTTAACTCGAATTTTTCTGCTGAAAATGTAGTTTTCTCGAGAGTATTCATCTCAATTTATAAATGTATCCAAAAAATGACCCTTCAGCACGTTCACACATACACGCACGCAATCAACGGTGGCCAAATCGTTTCACATGCAATGAAATAAAGTGAACGAAAGTTCGACATGCTTACCTGCCGCAGCTGCTACTGCTGTTGCTTTAATAGTCATTGGATATCCAACATTTGACCCAATAAATAAACTGTACTCAAATATTAATCGCATCAAAAGTATAATCGAATTTATTTCGGGTCTGAATGCGCTAACGACTCCATTTTGCTTCCAAACCGTTCCAAACAAAATAACAAATAACAGCCAATTAAGTAAATTCAGCTAACTTTTTGTTAGTTTAAAGCTATAACTTCATTAACTCGATGCTAACTCAGTAAGTGAGTGTGTGAGTAAGTGTATATATTCAGTGTTGAATTACTTCCGCCATTGAGCCAAAGTAAAGTGAAGGGAAGTGAACCGAACCGAGCCGAAAGCCGGACACGTTTACACAATGAAACCATATTCAGTACGATATAGTTGAATCTACAAAAGATTACCAAACATGTGACACTATTCACAATCCCATCAAAAATAACTTAGCATCGATTATAAAACCCAACCGACCCAATATATTTAAGCATAAATGGCCTTCTCACAGACGCTCAATATTCATCAGCCATATTCAGCATACGACATAGAAACTTCAAAATATGTGTATGAACCCTTGAACCTTGCCTTACACATGCAACATTGCGCAACATTTGACAAAGCCAAAAGCCCCAACGAACTAACTTGGAAAATGCTTTTTGTTCACAGATTGTGTTGTCAACTGTGCGTCTTTTCATTCTATCTCTCTGTCGCTCGTTCTTTGTGCAACCTCACGGCCGACTAAAGTTTTAATTATATTAAGAAATCATCGTCTCTAAATAAATCGATAATGCGAACATTTCGTTGTGTCGTTCAATGCATATAAAATATTCAAAAAGATTCCTTCATCTAGTACTCGTTTATTCTATAAACAAAAGCAATGTTAAACCTTTCTCATCGTATAATTTACATTTGCATTGTACTCCTTCAATGGAGCGAATAAAAAAGGTAAAGAGTTCACAGCCACCGCACACATTCGATTCCATTAAGTTTGTAAGTTGAGGGCAAACGAAGAAGCGAAAAAAACAACAGTTTTTTTTATAGTGCTGTCATTGCATTTAAACCACACACTTATCGAAAAATCTATATCAGGACAACTTTGTGATTGTACATTTCTTTTGTGGTCAACCAATGGCAGTTATGAACATTTTCAATTTTCATGCGCATTTTCAATTGCAAAAACCAAAATGCCCGAAATGGTTTGTTTTTTCATTTTCATGCTTTTAAGCGATCGTTGGTGTTGCTGCTTCTGCTATACAAAATATGCTATATAAAGTATCCCAATTTCTGGTCTATAATTGGCGTTTTTTTTGGGGGGGGAGAGAAAAAGTTTTCAAATGGTAAACTCTGTCCGAAACACATTTGTGTGGTACATTAAAGTTTTGCTGAATATTAAAATGAATATTTTATTGCAGTCATATTCGAAATTGTTTTTGGATACATTTTGTGGGCGAAGGGCGCGATGTGTACGGCAAAACTAGCATTTTTTTGTCCAGCCAGAAGAATCATGGAAAGTCAATTATGGCCAGCTCGCCATGAATGTAGATTAGATGTCTGCGACACAATCCACCAGAAGGGTTGTGAATAAGCTTTTACTATTTCGAATTTCTTTTATGATTAGTTGACTCATTTAACTCTACGGATTTGGTTTTTGGAATGGTTGAAAACTGTAGTCGTCATTTAATGCCATAAATGTCATGGGACATTTCGGTTCTATACTGTACAACATAACACACACCGAACATTGACTTTTCTTATAAATTTTCGAGCAGCTATCAGCATATTTGAAATCACCTATAAATGCGTACACACGTATTATATGAGCAAAAGAAGTTAATTTCGTTAGACATGTTCGTTCGCGTAGGAAAATATATTTGCGAGAAAGGATAGCAGTAACGCACTCAAACACATAGCATATTGCAAAGTTGAAATGTGCGTACACATAGGGTGTATTGATAATGGTAAAAGTACGATATTTACATGCAAATAGATAATTTCTATAGTTAAAAATTTGTTATGCCATTTGAGCCGAAAAGATGGTCCGAATGTTTTTATGAACATTTTGGATTTTTCATTGAAATTGGCACTAAAATAGCAGCAAATGACTGATTTCTCACGTATGAATACGAATAAGAAAAGCTCCCAAAGTCGTAACTGGAGTTTCATTCACGTTAGAATGATAATAAACGGAAAAATATCCATTTGATACATATATCCGAGGTGGGAACCCTAAATTTTTTATAATAAGAATCATCTATTCACATCAATTTCCATTGGCTAGGGACATGTAAATTTGACACTTTTACATTTATCGATGCACCCTATCGTACATAATATGCATGCGATTCAATGAAATCAAACGAATGAATTGTGAAGCTGCAAAATGAAAATCATATTTATTGTTCTTTTGTTCATCGCAAAGCGCTTTACTTTATTTGATTATTGTGTATGGATGCGGATGTGTGTTTCTGTGTGAAGATCCCCCGATTTCACTTTCACATCAGTAGTTAAAAACAAAGCAAAAAAATAAAATAAAACAAGCATGTGCCTTTGCTACCAGTCGAAAAGTTACACTCAACATCACTTCGAGCTAATAACTAATACTCTCGCTGCTGGCCCCCAAAAATAATAATGTGTGGCGTTAAACAGTACTGTGCATGCATGCAAGTGATCCCCATTGGAGCAAAAATATTTTGCGTTTGTCGGTATAATTCTTGAAATAAGCGACAGAGAAAAAAAATGTATGGAACATCAACCATTACACACTTGGGGCAATGTTACATAGTTACAACACACAAATGTTTGGAAATTCTAGCCATCTATTTGCTTCCATTTCATTGTGGCGCACAGGGAGCACCGAATGGAAAGTACAAGGTTTTCGATAAAATAATGATTTAGTAAGGCGAACGCGAACCCATTCGCTACTATGTGAAACTAACAAACAAATAAAGAAAAATAAGCAATAAGTGTTTGAGCACAAGAGTGAGTGAGAGAGTACATGACGAAGACAAAAAAAAAAAACAAATAATCATCGTCAACCGCGCAATAGTTTGAAGTTCGCTGTAATTACACGGTGTTGGTAAATGCAATGTGTTTGCAAAATTCATTCGCTTCTCAATGCGTGGGGTGAAAGAATTAAAATCGCCCGTCAATCGTTAAGCTCAGCAAATACGAATGCCAAAACAAGTTATAATTACTACAACGAATGCACAATGGGTATTCCAATAAGCGATGCGAATTTCCTTTTTATGCGTACTGTGCAAATCTAGCCGTCCATTTAAGAGAAAAAGCAAATAAAAATAAGTAAGCGACAGCAAGAATGCGCGGACGAAATAAGTGTGATGAAAAACCAGATAAAGAAATGAGGGAATGAGAAGAATAGCATATTTTTCACATAACTTGGATATTGTGACCAGTTATGGTGAACTCAGTAACACTATCACCATCAGCTACCACCAATATCGATGCCAACTCCATCAAATCAAAACCAATACATATAAATATACAGTGCGTCGGACGTCGAACGCCATCGCATTCAATACAACAATAATAATACTTATTCCTTAATGGTATAACTACCGTCAATCTTGCTCAATTGAGCGTATTATATTTTTCCATTGGAAATATTATGCGAATAAAAAAATACACGCATTTGGTAATGACAGCGCGTCTAGGTACTCGGCACTCTTTACGATGTCTACATGGTACATATTTATATATAACTGGCTAATAAGAAGTGGCTAGAAGAAATACCAAATGCAAAAGGAAGGATAAAATAATCGTACTCAACACACAGAACGGAAATGGAGTAAAATCAAAACAATTCGGAAGTATTTTCAATTTCGATGAGCACACTTTTTTTCGTTTTGGCTAAGCTATTCTTTATTGCTTTAATCCATTTATGAGGAGGCGCGCGCGAGAAAGTACAAGCAAAAAATAACGAACAAAAATACATAGCCCATTCACTAAAAATCTCTTCATGATTTTTTTTCTCAAAGAAATTCGATTTCGGATTTCGAGAAAAAAAAACAAGAAAAAGAAAGAAAATTGTATGCAAAAGAGTTATATATTTCAATTGAATATTTCCATTTGTTTTATTTACTGGTGTGAGACTTGATGTCGGAATTGAACTTTAAAGCATTTTTATAAACAATAATCGCATCGCATACATAAACATTTCTCTTTTCGATTGTGTTTACATAAAACGTTTCGACAGACTCTGTGTGATAGCTATGTGTGTTCGTTGATTAACAGTATGCTTCGTAAGCAATAACAGCATTTGATACAACGTATTGATTATTCATATGCATTTCTGTCTACATAAACATTATGTATCACTCTGTGTATTCACTCAGATTTTTCTTAATTTGCTTGTGTCAGCAAAATTCAAATTTCAACCGAAAATCACATATCTTTCTTTGTTTATAATTTGACATTTCTCGCCGACGTTCATTTTGCTTGTTACTTCAAATGTGTACGGTGCATTGTGTTGATTAGTTTCAATCGTAACATTTCAGAAGGAGTTGTTTTGTAAATCAGAACACAATATATTCTGATGGTGAAATGAAAGTGACTAAATAAATCGTTTTCTTCGACAACACAAATAAAATCTCATTTTCATATCAAAACGTTTGAAAAACAGTTTCTGTTCATTTTCAAGATTGTGCTTCAAACCAAGAGTGCTATTATGCTATTTTACAAATAATATTTTCATACGGTGATTTACATTTCGATTTTGATCATCGGCCATTTTTAATAAACGTTTACTTTTGTCGATTCAACAATAATTCCCTATAAATTCGGGTGCATTTTTGAGGTGATTCCACAGTTTAGTAAAGAATTTCACAGCAGTAAGCGTCTCTTTGACCGCTCTATATTTGTATATATATTTTTCAAATGAAAAAGTGTTTTAATTAAATTTATGCAATTATTTAATCTCTCTCGCTAGCCTTGTGTTCCAATTGTCGACCATTGCATCGTGAATACAACATTTTCGAACGCGCTTTTTGTCATTTTGCAGTGAATGTGACAGTGTTGTTGGTAAGTACTCAAAAACGAACCATTTTTCTTGATTTTTTTTGAAGTGATCAATGGACTGTGTGTCATGAATTTGACAATTTTTTCGTGTTTTTTTTCTGAACAGATTTAATTTTCATTACAATGAAGAGGAGACGTGCAAAAATAAATTCAGCCTTTAAGAAAAATACGGCAAAATTGAACGACAATGAAGAGTTGCGATCGATAAAACTGTCAGCGCCATCGGTATTCAAGTCTGAATATTCGGAAGCGCTAACAGAGCATTTTTTCCATAAATGCTACAATGGTACAGTAATATGCTACCTAGGTTCGACATTGTTTTTATATGTTGTCAACCTTGCAGCAGATAACGATGATCGGCAATATTTCATTGACAGTGATGGAAAAAATGTTATACGTGAGTGTTTCGTCGCCGTATCACGAGAAAATTTGGAAAATCCAAAACAACCGAAAATACCACGTGGATTCCTTGAAATGATTGCCGATGATCAATTTGAATGGCCAAGTAGGTACCAAATGGGCAACGCATTTGAATACTTGAATCAACAATATTTGTAAAATGTTACGACAAATTTGACAACGCATTTAGATAATATATTGGAGAACTTCTTGCAAATGATTCGCTATAAATTGAACGAAGACCCTAATCGGCTCATAAAATTTTGATGGCATTGACATAAGAAATGCAAAGAACAATCTTATGTTCAATCAAGATTGTACCGGAGGCGATCAACACCGAACGAACAAAATGAATGAGTTGTATGAACAAGTCGCCGTACGCTGTTTACCATCATTTCGCGAACGTTTGTCAATGATTGAATACATCGAGAAAAAGTGGTTTGAATCGTTGTGGTTTTTCATCTTCATTCAACGTGAAATAAGTATATTTTTGGAAGAGCATCACGATCTTGTGCAATTATGGCTACGACACCAACGCCATCCGCTTTTTTATTGCAAACCATCCAAGCCATTGCCACCAAAAATAAGAAATTTCACCGTCATACCGATATGTGACTCGCAGTTGAAACACATTAAATTCGATCAAGTTGATTTGATGAGCCTGCTGGCCCAATGGAAAGTTGTGCCGAAGATATTTAACAATGATCATGGAGGGCATAATATGTATAGCCTTAACTATTACAAGGAGAACGAAGATGAAGCATGGGCCATTTTGTTCAACATGGACAAAATCAACGAGATCAAGAAACCGAACCAACAGTTTCATCACATGATAGTCTGCGATAGCGTTTCCGCGTCGGTATTGTACAGAACACCAAAGCCTGAGATCGAGAATACGGAGCTGCATCGATAAAGAATCAAGCAAAAACTCGAGAACAATGGCATCGATTAACCATGGTGAAAGATGCAGTGGCTGCATATGCTCGGCGACGTTATGCACGGATTTCGTTTGACAAATACATCGGGTCACAAGGTGAGAAAGATTGGCTGGCGAAAGTAATAACAAAGAATGAGCCATCGCTTATAAACATCGGAGCAGTGGATATGGCACCCAATTCACCAATTGGCATAAAAAAGGGAAAACGATGCCCAGGTACACGGCATCTTTAATGCAGCGTTAAAAAACTTGGCCATTCAGATGTACACAAAGTGAATGAAGATTTCACATCTCAACACTGTGCGAATTGCCAGAAGAAATTCCCGATTCAAACAAAAAAATATCGATTCAAAGTGTGCCACTGTACTCGCGATGCACTAATACCACAAGAAATAGAACCGTATATCTCACTACCACGGTTAATTGTGACGAAGAAGAGTCAACGACGCAAAAAGAAAGATAGCTGCGTGAAGAAATTGATCGCAAGAGGCATCATGGATCCAGCAAATCAACCAGCAGAATTTCAACCAGGGCGATTAGAGTCAAAGAAAATGTACTTTCTGAAAAACTGGCTACTAAACTCTGTGAATGCATTCAAATGGGAGGCGACGCTGATAAATATCCGGAACAACAACAACAACAGCAACATCAAAAACGATTTTGCACCGTTTGGCATCGAGACATTGTTGCGGCTACGAGGGTTGCTCCATAATTTTTTTTAAAATGGTACTTATAGTGTTGCCCGATGTAAACCATTGTCATATTCGTAAAGTTTGATGTTTTGGTATGTATTCGTGCCCTGAACCTTTTGTCGTACGAACGCTATTTGTATTGTTTACAGTGACTGGTAAACTGCGACTCAACGAAAAAATGAATTTTACACGTGAAGATTTTCGTAAAATGATTTACTACGATTTTCGTAAATTATCTCAACAACAGTGTTTCGATCGACTTCATTTGGCCTTTGGCAATGAAGCACCAACCCCTCAGACAATTTATAACTGGTACCGAGAATTCCGTTGCGGTCGTAGTTCGCTCAAAGACGAGTTTCATACAGGTCGTCCAAAATCGGCTGTTGTGCCACAAAACATCGATGCTGTCAGAAAACTGATTATGGAAGATCGTCATGTGACCTACCGTGAGATTGAGGCATCTTTGGGCATTTCATCTCACAGCATACATACAATTTTGCATGAACATTTAGCCGTAAAAAAGATTTGCTCTCGTTGGATCCCACATAAATTGACCGATGAACAAAAAATGGCTCGTGTGAGTTGGTGTAAAGAAATGCTCAAGAAATTCAATCGTGGTGCTTCAAAAGACGTTAATAAAATCGTCACTGGTGACGAATCGTGGATATATGCCTATGAGCCCGAAACGAAACAGCAGTCGACTGTATGGGTCTTCCAAAATGAAGATAACCCAACGAAAGTTGTTCGAGCAAGAAGCACTTCGAAGCGAATGGTCGCCTGTTTTTTCGGGAGAAGTGGTCATGTGGCAACCGTTCCACTAGAGGATCGTAAGACCGTCAATTCTGATTGGTATACCACCATTTGTTTGCCCGAAGTGTTTGGTGAAATAAGAAAAAACAACCACCGTCGCAAAATAATTCTTCATCACGATAATGCGAGCTCTCACACATCTTTTCAAACTACTCGATTTTTGACCGGTCAAAACATCGAACTGATGGGTCATCCACCGTACAGTCCTGACCTGGCACCCAATGACTTTTTTTTGTTCCCAAGCGTGAAGAAAAAACTACGTGGTCAACGATTTTCGACACCAGAAGAAGCAGTTGAAGCGTTCAAAACACACGTTTTGGAGATATCAGTTTCGGAGTGGCACGAATGCTATGACAAATGGTTTCATCGAATGCAAAAGTGTATCGATCATCTCGGGGAATATTTTGAAAAACAATAAAACCATTTTCGACAAAAAACAACTGTGTTATATATGTTTTTAAAAAAAATTATGGAGCAACCCTCGTAGATGCATCATGTACAAAGGTAAACACTGTAATTTATTTGGTATATTTTCCAATAATTTAAATTGCCTCTTATTAATTACAGGTCTTTGTTACATATTCAATTTGGAAATGCACAACTCGTATGTCAGAGCACCAGCACCTCCAAGACCACCATTGCGTAGAGGACAACCAGCACGCAGAAGAGCCAATGCAAACGTTGTTCCAGATCAATGATTAAGCAGCGTCGAAATCAAAAAGAAAAAATATAATAACTCTGGTAGTTAGTAGCAAAGCTTGTATTTTGTGGCTTTGGTGATTGTGTATAGTACACATTGTCTAAATGTGTAATTGTACACAGTTCAGTACAGATTTATCTGTAGGTAAGTATTATTTTATCAAATGTTAAAAATGAATTTAATTTGGATGTGGCGCTCAGTTAAATAACATTCGAAAAAAATCCATTTTCGCCGATAGAAATATGGCTCTATAGATTTTAGCTAACTTTTTCTTTCTCCTTCTTTTTCTTCCACTGGTGACGTTGAAAATGACTGAAACTACACACAAATCCGGCCACAAAATTGACCGTCAACATATGCCCGATAATGGATGAATTTGCCCCAACAATTGTTTATTGATATAGCCATTGATATTGTTGTATAGATACGTACGCACTCAAAGATTCGATTTTTGCTGTTTCTGGTATGGTTCGAAAAATAAAATGTATTGCATATCTCGCACGCCTTCAATCAACGGATCCAATGCAGTCCGTTGCCGCCTTTGCCATCTAGGTCATTTATGATTATTGATATGAGTCAAGTAATTAACGAGGTCTGTTGAACGTTGTCGAAACAAAAAAAAACGCACACAAAACACATTCAAACGGAGAGTTTAAAAGAGTCGAAATGAAATGGAATTATGATTCAGTCACTCCTTTTTCATATCTTGCCTGTTAATTCTATGAAAACGAATCAACAACTAACAATTTCGAGGCTATTTCCCGGGAATCGAATTGAATACTACATTGAAACCCATAAAATAACAAGCAAAATCAAACAAAACAAACTAGAAGTAATACGATTTGAACACAATTCCATTAAAGCGTCAGAGCTCTAATTAACTATATTAAGGATTTCAAAATGTGAAGACTCTCTTAATGGTAGGTGGCTGTTTCTGGTTTCCTTGATTCTTTATGCCTTTCTTCTCCCTTCGTCGATTATTATTTCTTCTTTTTTAATAATTGAAAGCGTATTTGTTGCCTGATTATTTTTTTTTTATATTTGTTGATAAAAATGCATGCTCACGATAATAAAAACTGATTCGCTTTATTTCGTGTGTTTTTTTAAACATGGTACTTGTCCTTTATGATACTGATTTGAACGCAAAATTATTTTTGAAAGCAAACGGCTGTAAAAACTTATTGTGACATACACATAAATATGAGTGTGTTAAGTACACGAGTAAAGAAAAACACGAACATAAAAAATTCCATCTCACTATTAGCATACGTTGGTACAACAAGAACCACAACAACAGCACAAGTGTCAGAATATTCAGGCACCTTTAGGTGCCTATAGGCTGTCGATGGTCTTTTACAACAGTGATATATGGATATATTATGCATACTGCGGCGACATAAATGATGTCGATAAAACTGGATTTGATTTAACTTGCAATGGTATCCATTTCATTTCGCTTAATTATTTGAAAATTAATGGGAAAAAAAAGAAGAAGAAGAGGAAGTAGCAAGACCCGCTGTGCTTTCACTCATTGTACTCATCGCAATCAAGGCTTGAAACGAGGCACATCATTTGAACTGTTACTTATTATTCTTTCTGTCTTCGTAGCTTGTTACAATGGAATACATCAATTTTGTGTAACACATTCTATTTTTCATGTGTTTTCCACACATCCATTTTTCGCGAGCTTGAATACAATTTTCTTGTTCCGTTGTGCTATCTCTTTACACTTTATCGGTTTTCTTTGTCTCCATTTTCTCTTAAATAAGTTAGGTGAAGATGAAATTCAGGTGCGGAGCTTGTATGAGAGCACGCTAATTTGTTTATAAATAAAATTAGAAGCGTTCGAAAAGTGAAACACTTGTATTTACATGACAGAGCACCGTATGCGATATTGCTGTGAGTCTTTTGTATTCATTAAAACATGGATTTATTCGTTATAACGTTGTCATTCATTAATTCTCAAGTTCATCGTGTTATCCATGGTCGTGTATGTGTATGTGTGCACAATGTACATTCCTTTGGTGATTAATCATGTTTTTCACCTTTTTTTAATACAATATATTCGAGCATATGCGTATGCTGTCGTGTATGTGTCAAGCAGTCACTAGCAGTGGTTATCGTTTTTCGGCTGGCGCTTTGAAGTGTACCAAGATTGGCTTCATTTTGGCCAAAATGGTGAGGCGGACAATCTATATAAATAAAATTGGGAAAGACGGAAGAAAATGGCTCTTCATGCACATTTATATTACTCAAACCATTAACGAAACGCTATAATTTATAATGAAACAATCAAAACATTCAAATGTAGACGGTAAGCCAAAAAGTACATACAATCAAAACAGAGACAAACAATGTTGTGAAAATCACATCAGGCCTTTATTTACCCCATCCATGCTGACACGATAAAGCCGTGCAAATCACAAGCTCAGATCAATGAATGAGTATACGGTTTGTTCGTTCTCTTTTCAGTCTAAATGAAAATTGTCCAGATACGCAGCGATGAATCAACATGTAGAAAAATATGTATATATATTTGATGAGATGTAGTGCCTCTGATGGTGCTGAACTATGCCACCCAAAATTGGAATTCTTGGTAATTTTGATATTAGGATTTGATATGAATGTGTCTGTGTGTGATTATTCCAATCAATATGTTAAAATCCATTTCATTTTGTTCGTGATTTTGGCTGTTTTCGTTCATTGAACGCCCAAGTGATTTAGTTGTGTGTGTGCGGGCGAGCGTATGTGTGTGTGTGTGTTTATGATGAGAACAAAAGACTGAATAAAAAAAAATTATCACATTATTTTTCAGTGCAGCAGCAAAAAAACCGAATCAGTATTTCATCAATTGCCAATTTTTTTAACGTAAAAGCGACGGGGGAAGGTACGTCGGCGTTTTATGTCTAACCGTCATCAATGTGAATACAATAAACTAAGTATCATTTCCTCGATCAACATTGAAATTTCAAATTAATTCCGTACACATACAATTTGTTGTTATTGTTGTTGTTTCGCAAGTGAAATCACCTTGGGCTCAGATGGCAAACGAATACAATGACAACCGAGATCCGACCGAAACTTCGATCATGTATACAATATTCTTTGTCAGCCATTGTTTTGTTTGGCATCCCATTTTCCATATTTAATTTACATCATATGGCGCCATATTCGATTGGTTTTTGGCTGCAACAACGTCAATTTAATTTCGTTTATCGATTTAATTTCAACGACAAAAACTTTTGAACGAAATTTAAAATCTACCGCATAAGACAAGTAAACAGAAAGACATTCTATAGGATGCCAAAGACATGCTTTGGCAAGAGACACATGAGTGACAAGAAGCATAGAATATACAAAAATGTATAAAGATTTATATAGATATATAGATTTGCGGGCATAGAAACTCTACTGGATAACTTTGTGGAAAACGAAAAGAAAAACAAAATTGTTGCTTACAAAACAGTGAAAACAATTAAAATGTGCGAGTCTATTTTGAAAATCACATCTCATTATTGAAGATTTTCATGCGCTCAATAATAATAACAACAGTTATAGTAAAAACAATAATGATAATACAACACACCACGATATAGAAACATTGCCATTTCAAATTTACATACCAATACCAATTATTTATTTATTCGCTGTGTGTGTGTTTATTTATTTGTTTTCCTTGAGAATCGAAACACCTTCGAATACTTTTCTTGTCCAAAATACCATACACATTTCTCTCGCGCAAACACTCTCTATCTGCCTTAGCCAAGCGATGAATTTTTTTTATCACAAAAGCACATTGTTTTGAAAATTGAAAACGGATGAGCATCGGCTCAAACTCTGCTAAATACAGATACACACTATGATATACAATTTTTTTTTTAATGCTGAAGATTAATTCACCACGCGCATTATTTTTAATCTTTTCGTCTCTTGCTTACTTTGTTTTCTCGTTCGGTTTTGTTTTCGTTCTTTTTAAATGTTTTATTTTTTACGATTTTTTATTAATGCTATTTTGCGTAATTCGCGAAAAATTGATAACGATATTGTTTGTATATAATTCGTTTTTTTTCATCTATTTGATTGAAATTTATACACAATGTGCTTTCATTTTGTGTTGGTGTTTGTTTCACAAAAATAAATTTGAGTACTTGATAAATTCATTCCTATTCAGATTGACACCAAGCGTTTTTTTTTCGTGTGTTTATATGTCGACGAACGAAAAATAAAATTAAATGAAATGAAGGAAAACAGTTTAGTGTACGTTACTCTAATTTACTCTTCTATCTGTCTTTTTTTCTGTTTCTAATAGTCTTTTCCCTTTTCTGTTTGATTATCGCGAATGGAAAATGTATTTATGTATGGATATGAAATGTATTCAGTATTTGCTTGCGATCCCGAACACAGCTCGATAAGAACTGAAATCAGAGCGCATATTTTTGTGTGTTTTCTAAAAGGGGCAGAAAATTCTTCGTTCAACTTCAGTCACGTAGTACGCGCTATATGTTGACGCACTGATAAAAAAGCAAAAAAACAACTTACCATTCTCCCTATCTCTCTCTCTCTCCCTCTCTTACACTCTCTAGTCTTACACTCACTCTCTCTCTCTCTCTCTCTCTCTCTCTCTCTCTCTCTCTCTCTCTGTGGTGCGATAAGGAATATTGGAGAGCTTTTACGTGTGTTGTGATAATATTAAGCTCGAGTTGGACGAGCGCGTTATAGTACGTACGATGATATTAAGTGACATTTAGCTCAACAAATGTGTTTGTGTGTGAGAGAAAGAAAATGTCCAAAAGCAATGTAAAAAAATGAGATAGCTTTAGATTGGAGATGTGGTCGGAATATCGTTTTGAAGCTTTTAGTGGAATATGGATAAAATGAGCTTGCTGCGTACAACAATGTTTCTGTTACGCAGGGGAAAATTGTTGCAACATTCTGTCGCTTCATAATCACTGTAGCTTTTCCAATTTCTAATATTGCTTCGGTACGAACGGGTTCGGCATTTACAATATACTAGACGAGTGTGTATGGTGTTTACATTCGAAACGCCTCACATATTTCGGAACCAAAAAAAGTAGCACCAGAACACTTCATACATTGTACACACTACACACATCGTTTGAGAAATACGTGTTAAATACTTGACTGATAATAGTCTTTGTTTTTATTTTTCATTCTCAATTCTCTCATTCTCTCCATTTTACCGTCGAATAATGAATGAATGACAATTTATCGAAGCAGAGAAGACAGAGCCTTTTTGATGAATCGAACACAGTAGATAAAGAGACAGAAAAAAATAATATACCATCGAGAAATTTTTTTCGCTTGGGACGTTCCGTTGTCAATATTTACATCTAATGAATATTGAATTCCCCTAACTCAATTATCCTCTTTGTTTGTGAAATTATCCTTTGTAAACTCGAACGCTCGATAATACAGAACGAAAGTTTAAAATTCGACAATATTTCAACATGGCCAGCAATAGAAAAAATGTCAAAGAGAAGTGATTATGCGAGCGAAAAAACACAATGACGCGAACATTGCAAACATAATTCAAAATGAATATAGTATAATATAGAATTTTACATTGTTAAGGTGCCGGATGCATTAGAAGTCACGTGTTTCATTCTTTTGTTACAACATATTTCGATTCCCATTGTTGAAGATTTAATATTTTTGAAAGACGAAGAGTGAGATAGAGACAGCAAAAAGATTAAACATGATGAACGAAAAACAAGCACAAACGTCACTTTTCCTCAACTAGAATTTATGATTGATTTGAATAGGTTTCTTTCAATTCTTCTGAATGCTTTCGAAATTCCGAACTGATGCTCATTGTTTGACGGTTTTGGAACAAATTTTATGCTTGTCAACCTAATTCTTGAGAAGGATTGAAGAAAACAACACAAATACACACATAAACTCTTTCACAACATAATAATCACTATGTGAATATGATAAGCGAAATTGAGCATTTCATCATCACATCCTCTTTGTATTGTCATCAACATACAAAACACCGATATGTAGGTACCAAATGAATCCATCACACTTTTGCGATGAATGATTTTTATGTAAATTATTGTGATTCTTCATCAATATCAGAATGAAGAATTTACAGTTGGCAGAAGGGGGAGAAAAACCAACAAAAACCACTAGCCGTGAACAGACATTATAATGAGATATTTTCAGCCAGATGAATCAGCTCAGCCAGATATCGTCAGGAGCTGAAATGGAGTGAAAACAGTAAAAAATTGATTGTTATAGTGATTGTAGCCATAACAATCTATTCTAGTGTTTTCACTAAATTTCAGCTCCTGACGATATCTGACTCATTATAATGTCGTGAATGAAGAAAAAAAAAAACCAATAAACAAACAATAGTAATCAACATTTCAAAAACTTATGTAATGCTACTATTAATTCAGGCATCAACAATTAAAATCGTTGAAATTGATTGCTGATTACATATTGCATCAAAAAGCACATTTGCATTCATCACATGCGACAATAATTAAACATTATTGTGCATTTCAAACGAACCGAGTAAAATATTCAAAACGGTTATAAACAATCTGTGTATATGTGTGTGTGTCAGACATTATATTGAGATATTTTCAGGCAGATGATTCAACTCAGTAAGCTAACGTCAGGCGATGTAATGAAGCGAAGACAATAGGAGTGATTTTTATTGTGATGGACACAATGGAATGGAGTTTAAAGAATAACTTCTATTGTGTTCACTTCATTTCGGCGCCTGACGTTAACTTCCTGAACTGAATCAGCTGCCTGAAAATATCTCAATATAATGGTTTGGTGTGTGTTTAATAAAAAAAAATATGTCACTATTATCACATGTCTTTGTGATCACGCGTATGCTAATTAACTTCAACTGTAATCAGAACAATAAAACGAAAAAAAACTAATCAAAGCTGTTGCATGCATTTCATCAGGGGAATTGTAGTAAATGGCACAATATATGGTTTGGTGACATATAAAAGCATTGTACGATACAGAACATTTTGTGCTAGCGATCGTTGTCTTTCATTATCTGTAATATGGTAATTTGTTGGTTAGAATATCAATTCAACAGATAGTTATTACATAATTTTAAAGTTTTCAAACATAAACCAGTAAATGAAAATCGAAATTCCGTATTATATTAAAAAGTGGAAATGCAATCGATGTCGAACGACATTTATTATGATAATTACAATCATCATAAACTATTCATAAATTTGGAAATTTGAACAGAACTGAGTACGTAGGCGACTATTTAAGTTTCTTCAATATGTATGTTTTAGTATTGCCCGATGCAAACCATTGTCATATTCGTGAAGTTGGACATTTTTCATGACCATTTGACTTAACAGGACGAATTTTTGTTTTGTGATATGGCGACGACAGCAGCTTAAACATGACACTCCAAAAAGTACACTTTTTTGAATATGCACCTAATTTCAAGTACGAAAAATATATTGTATCCAACTGTTTTTAGTCTCTGGTGGACAGAGTGGTCCCGAATAATTCGTACACGGAGTATTGTGCATCAATTCCATCTTTTGGGTAATCAAATAGTCGACTGTTTGATGGGCTTCTTTTTGCCATGTTTTGGGATTATAAGTTTCAGAGTTTTGGTCTCCATATTCCCGTGATGACTTTTGACAATCAAATGGTTGTGTACTATTCAGCATTGAAGGACCTTTCATCCTCTAAAGGCATGGTAGCAACATGACACATAACACTGTAAAATAATGAGGTCCGATTTTCCCTATCATTTCACAAACGAACAACTTTTGTTCGATTGTGTTCATGTTTGAAGACTCAGAGAGTCAACCAAGTTTTTGTTTCAGGTCCAAACTACTGGAATCATGTCTTGGCTTCTATTGCGATCGTATAGACGTGTTTTTATTATCCTATGTCAAATTGGTTATGATTTTTTGGATGTGATTAAAATCAATCGATTTTTGAGCAACTGTGGGTTGACACGTAAAGATTTATTTTTTTCATGTTGTAATTCATGGAAGAACCAAATGATTGGAGTCTCTGTGATCCTTGGGCATACCACAATTTAACTGTAAAAGAAACTTCGATCCTAACTCAATCGGCACCAAAGTTTTTCTCGATGACATCAATTTTCGAAGGACCATCGCGCAATTGATCACTGTAGCGAGCACCATGACGATGGGATTCAGTGAACCAGTTGTATACAGTGGCAAGGCATGGTACTTCCTTCCCATACCCCGACTTGAGTCGGAAGTAATACTGTTGAGCAGGCAGCTCTTTTTGAAAACTTATGAGAAATAATCTTTTTTGTAAATTTCATTTTTTTGCGAAGTTGACCTTTTCCAACTGACACCGTGGCCATACCACAAAACTAAAATTCGTCCTGTTAAGTCAAATGGTCATGAAAAATGTCCAACTTTACGAATATGACAATGGTTTGCATCGGGCAATACTAAAACATACATATTGAAGAAACTTAAATAGTCGCCCTCGTATAAACCAAATCTATTAAAAATTTATATTTCATGAAATGAAATGTGTGATCGCTAAAAAAAATGGCACGGAAATTGAAAACAAACACTTTTTCGAAAATTGGATTGGTTTTTTTGTCCTTGTGTATATCGTCCACATATTGGTGCAATACATGCACACCGCTTTTTTATCTCTTTTAATTTGATAGTCATAATTGTATGCATACTCAATGAAGTGTTGAAGTTTCATATATGATGTGCCATGGAAAGTGGCCGATGTGATATTAAATAAATGCGTTCAACCACAAACACCGGAAAAAACATATGTATATTTAGTCATAAAACCGCATGCTAATTATTCACAAGTAAAGCCAAAATGCACACACTTTAACATTAATTTCGAAAAATTGAGATTCGTATTCTGTCAATGATAATTATAGTACGTTCGAAGAGTGTCGCATTGCATTTCGATGAAATAGAAATTGAAAATTTGATTTTAAACTGACATAAATGCCTCTTGATTTGAAGCATATTCGCCAAAGTGGTAAAACAGAGAAATTCTCTCAAATATTCATGTGCGTTTGCCTACCGTTTCGAATTTAAAATCGATAAATGGTGGTAAAACGAAAATCAATTTCCTATTTTCAAAAGAGAATATTGAATGGAACGTTTCCTTGTCTTAAATGGTAACCAATACATGATTTGCAATTGAATGTATGTTGAACAGTCGTTCTCAATGGATTCGATAATTAGCATATCTTATATGAACTGCTTTTCATGCATAAAACTAATTCAATAGAATGGGATACAGTGTAATTTTCGGATCTTGCACATTAATGTAAATTATACAATACATGTGCAACAAGTATAGTTTAACATTCATTCAGCTATGAATTTCAATAGTTGGCCTTGATACATGTTTCATACGTTGGTAGTAAAATGTGTGCGTGTTTGTTTGTTTTTTCTTTGGCTTTCCATTTTTATTCGACATTTAATACCGTTTTAAGCTCGAAACATTCGTGGAAAAATGGAATACATGAACATTTTCCGTTCCGTAGAAACTGTTGCTAGGATTTTTGAAGGGATAAATAAGGATAATAGATTGTAATTCACAATTTGAAACATAGATGGCCTTGTCTTTATTATCATTTTGTGGTAACTTTGCAAACAATTCTAGAACTAGCGCGTTGGAAATATAAATAAGTTAAGATTATAATATGATAAGATTTAATTGAAAGAAAAAAGAAAATAAAGTGAAAAATGTAAATTTTATGTGAACAAGTTTTTTTTGTTGCCGAATATTCATAACTGTCTTCATAACCAATGCATATGGGTTTGTGTATTGAATAAGCTTAGCATATGCACACATCAATCACAATACACTGATACTGACGACACGAATACCAACCTAAAGAAACAGCGACGTGCAACACAACAGCCGACAAGCGCCTCAAATGACAGTCTGAATCGCACATTTTTTTTTAATATAGATTGAATTTATTTTATAAAAAAAAAAACCACAGCAACAATCATCCGAAAATAAAAACGGCAAAATAGAAACGAGAAAAAGAAACAACGACAATCGAAAATCATAGATTGACATTTTTTCGTTACTGCTTTAAAAATAAACGGCCTCAAAATTAATTACTCAAAGTATCATAACGCTATGTCGTTATCGACAATAGCGAAGGTTTGTTTAGTGTTGTTTCCCATCCATATTCGTGATTGGTTTGTTTTTGATTAGAATATTCATTCGGATCGAACAGTGTGTGGTATATTTGATTATGCATTATTGTACCTGTTTTGATTTGCTTACGTTGATTTAGTATCCAGTTGTGAGCTGAAAACCGGCTTTTTCCTCTTCATTTTTTTTTCTCTAGATATTTTGTTTTTTATTTAATTTCGTTGGATCGTAAATGATGTTGATATTTGATGTTTTACATTTTTGTTCATTTACATCCAAATTATTGTTTCATATCTCTGAATCGTTGTAGATGATTTCAGTGACAAGTTGTGCCTCATTTTGTTCGTATCATTCTAGAATTTGCTTTTTAATAATTTGCCAAACTCTCGTTTTTTGAGCAAAATGTCTAAAATCGAATTGGCTTCTTCAACTTCATGTTCTTCCTCGCAGCCTGTTCTTTACTCGTACTGGAGAAGTTCGTGTTCGTGGCGTGTTCGCATCGCACTTAATCTGAAGGAAATACCGTATGATATAAAGGCGATTAGCCTTATCAAATCAGGTGGCGAACAACATTGCAATGAGTATCGTGAAGTCAATCCAATGGAACAAGTTCCAGCATTACAAATTGGTATGAATTTGATTCGTTAAATTTAGCATGTCCATACGTTCATACATGTTATTTGTTTTATTTTATAAATTCTAGATGGGCACACACTTGTTGAGAGTGTTGCGATTATGCATTATCTAGAAGAAACACGACCGCAACGGCCACTTTTACCGCAGGATGTACATAAGCGATGCAAAGTGCGGGAAATATGCGAAGTTATTACATCCGGCATTCAACCGCTACAGAATCTTATCGTTTTAATCCACGTAGGCGAAGAAAAGAAAAAAGAATGGGCACAACATTGGATAACACGCGGTTTTCGTGCTATCGAAAAGTTACTCTCCACTTCAGCTGGTAAATTTTGTGTCGGCGATGATATTTCGATGGCTGATTGCTGTTTAGTGCCACAAGTGTTCAATGCTCGAAGGTATGTGTTGATCATCTTCTTTTTTGTTGTTTTTTTTTTTTTTTTGTTAAATGTAATTTGTTTAAATTTAGATTCCACGTAGACCTGCGTCCTTACCCAATCATATTACGTATTGATCGAGAGCTGGAAAGTCATCCAGCCTTCCGAGCAGCTCATCCTTCAAATCAACCAGATTGTCCGCCCGAAGCAGCCAAATAATCAACAATCATTCAACCACGTTGCAAACGAAATGAAACAAACGCAAAAGAAAAAACAATCGAACATTCTATCATTCCATTATGTCGATTTTACTTTTACCATTACTTTTTTCCCATAAAAACGGAACGAGATAATTTCGTGTCTAATTACTTATTCACCTTAATATATTCTTTACTAATTATATTCTTTTTATATAGCTGTTTTTTTTCGTTTTGGTTGTCCATCTTTTGGCTAGCTTCAAAAAGCAGAAAGGAGTTTTTGCAAGTTTGACAATTTTCATCGCTATAAGTGATACAAGTCATTAACTTTACCTTTCATCAAAATCGATTTTATTCCAAAATTATTTTTACCTTATTTTTCTTTCATAAAAATACAATTCAATCATAAGAGTAAGTATTCCGTTTTATTTTATTATTCTCCTTAAATGTGTGTTTAAACAATTTTGTGTGTGTGAACTATAATTCTGGGCAAATAAAAATTCGTTTGCTTCCAAAAACTTGAGTTGTTTTTTTTTATTTGAAGTTTTTTCTTGTCTGAAACGAACATGGTTTTTTGTGTGCTTCGGTGCAAATGCAATATCAAGCGATTGGGATGAAAATCAAATCAGTCGAAAATATGATTGATTATATTCTTCGAAATATAACGGAGAGATAATAAAGTACAACAATTGTTGTGTTATTCGTCGAAAATTCGTCAGGCAATATGTAGTGTGAAACAGTATCTATCAATTCATGAAATTTTATCGCCTCTGTTCCCCTTATCGCACAATCATCTCTGCGCTAGTACATCTCCCAAAAAGCGAACAAGAAATCTTATCTTATCAATACATTGACTAACTATTCAACTAACGAATGGATCTTAGTTTCTATAACCTTTCTTATCACTAACTAACCAACAAAATCGACATGTATTTATGTATTCACAATCAATCACGTGGATAAGCCAAGAGAAATGTCATTTTTCGAAGCAAGTATAAGTGAAGGCTTTTTTAGCTATTGAAAATTCTTGTCTTTTTTTTCACAGAAATAGTAATGGCTTTGAAATTAACAAGCGAAGTAGTTATTTGTGAATGAAATTAACGTATTTATCGAGAAAATAGACAAAATAAAAGGTTTCAATCCAATTCCGTTTGAAATTGTTCTACCTTTCAAAGTTCCTTCACTTTGTTGAGAAACCGTCGATAAGTAAACCAAAACTGTTAATCGGGAATCGGAAAAAGCCATATCAGTGTATCAATGTAAGAGTTCATTGATATGCATCGGAAAATTCGTTCAATTATTATATTCGATGATGTCAAATATAGATGAAAGATTTAATGTGTAAATTTAACTACCTTTATGTATCGCGTCTGTGACTAATGTTAGTCTCAATGCTTCTCGACTCATTAGTTCGGTTAGTACTGGTTACATATACAATGTAGAAAAAAACTCAAATTTTTGTTTGAAAATAACTACAGCTCTTTTATAGTTTTACAAATGTGTTAAAACACAAACACTCGAAATAGCGCAATTTTATTGAAAAAATAGCATAAATAAACGCATGACATAACAAGAAAAAATGAATGACCTTGTCTCAAACACGGTGCTATTGCTAAAAAGAGACGAAAACTAAGAAAAAATATATTTGTTTGTATATGTAACAAATAGCAAAAGTCATTATGTAAGCTTATTAAAATTATTTAAGTTTTTCTACGGTTGCATTTCAGTTCAGAGAATTTTTGCGGCGAAAGCATAAAGAAGAGGCAAATGCATTGAATAATCTTGGCGAGTGTGTATGGGTCGCGCGATTTGTAATCATCCAAATATCATATTTCTAAATGTTTATCAATTTCGTCAGCATAAACATATCAGCGTACGATTATGCATGAACCTTAACAAAGCATTATCACCTTATCGTTATTTTTCATGTATAAAACGAGATTTGAATAAACCACGCATGTTTATTTTTACCGAACTTTGTGACTCGTAAAACAAACAAAATAAAAGACTCAAATGTGAAGGGTCACTTAATGATAACCTGGCAATTTTCCATTCAACGCCGACAATGGGTCTCATGCATTATCATAAAATTCATGCTGAACTGCAAACAGCATACAATTGTTACGTCTCATTCATGCACATTGGTGTTGTCGATGTAGTAGTAGAAGTCGTCGTCGTTCGACAAGTGAGTGAGAGCGAAAGAGTGAACAAAACAAAAGTCGCATTGTCACTACATTGAAGAGAGAATTTAAGACTAATGTTCAGCTTTTATGCTAATTAAATGTTTTGATGACTTTTAAAAGGTAAAGTTTAAAACCAATTTAAGTAGCATGAATCCAGTTACCAGTTTCCTGTGGGTTCTAAAGTAGTTTTTGCTTGGAGAATTGGAATATGTATTGGCTGGCCAGAGGCAATGATTGTGTTGGCAACACCGTTAGCATTGTAACAATTCAAAATCGGACATCAATTCGATTTCATTTATTGATTATGACCTTTGTTCAGAGGTTTTGTTCAGCATTATAAATTACCACATAAATAAACATTGTATTAACCGCTTTTCACTGTTTGTGTGTGCGGTATTCAAATCGCTTCGGAAATAGTCAAACACCATTATTCCGGTCAAATGTTAAAAATAAAAATTTATCAAAAATGTTGACTTGAAAATCTCGCTTGTCAACCACACTTTTTCTCTCTTTACCATTTTTTTTTTCGATTCCATAAACGACTTTAGCCACTTATTTACATTCATCAATGCGCATTGTAACAAACATTGTTCCTAATTCGGTTTGAATGCATTCATGTGTGTGCCTTTGCGTTAAATGTCAACGCTAATCAAATAATAGGACGCAATTTTATGAAAACGCATACGGATTGACGTTCTTTAAAAAAAAAAAAAAAACATAAGTTTTATTGGTTAATTAATTAGAAGCATAATGCGATACAAATGCAGTATATTTTAATCATTTGGGCCATTAAAATGCAATGCTTTTGGCATACACTCACACAATACTATATGTATAATTGAAATCGTGTGACACTGAAATACAATAGGGTGTTTTTCGCTTCATTTTCTCTCTGTTGATTCACATCAAGCATGTTCATTTATCCGATTGCAAAACGAATAATATGTAATAATTAATATAAAACACTGAGTGCGCACATGGTGAATGTTTCGAATACAAAAAATAGAAAAACGAATATTGAATTCGATGCTTTGAAATGGAGATGAAAATTTATGCGTCTATTTATTCTTGTGGTCACCGAATAGAAATAAGACGCTGTAAATCTGATTGTTATCTCAAATGCAATAATAATATTTTTTGTTTCACTCGCTCATCCGTGGCACATTTTTTTCTCACATACATTTGATTGTAACTGATGCGAATATATGTGGCCGTGAGTTTGGCAATGTTATGTATTTTGCTTTGCATTGGAATTTCTGAGGCATATGTAATTTATGCTGTATTTTTTATTCAGTGTACAATAGTCAAGAACATAACTGAAAAGCAGATTATGATGAATGTTTGAACAAAAAAAAACTGAAGAAAAACAAAAAAAAGTTCATGATCAATTTGAAATAATCACGGTGATATTGTAAACCATTCGAATGACTGCAATTTTTCACCAAACAACACAAAAAAAAAGATTCAAAAAAAATATAAGATAAATGTTATCGTATCGTTGATACGACAGTTGAGCACTGTCTCTAAGCGTGCGTTCGTAATTATACCAAAACTGAAAAATTGTTCACAATGTATACTTTTCGGTATACAAAAAGTCGTTCGGTACAAAATGCATTTCGAATGCAATTTCAGCTGATGATAAATTCCATGGACGGTTGCTTTTTAGAAACTACCAAAAATCATAAATGAATTTGACTAATGCAATCGCATTAAAATCGTTAATAATTTTTCACGTTCTAATTACGTAATCGGATTATAATGTGCTCATTGGTGTTCATTTTGGCGTTGCCATGTATTCATTTTCATCGTGAACAGCCAATTAGCGATTTTTCACTTTTAAAATCACATGCCAAATATATATACATATTGAGAATATCATGTTCAGGTGTTGCGGCTGTACATGTGATGATTACTTTTCGAACATTGTCATGCATTTTCCTTTTGTTGTTTGCATTATTTTAAGTTTCCCATTCGTAAAATGGCCGAATGTGAAAAAGCATTGTAACTGAGCGAAAAAAATTCAGTTAAATCAAAAACATTTGCACACGAACGCAAATTTTGTTCTGATGATCACTGATTTGGAGTATGATAAAAAATGTGCATTTCTATACTCATCTTATTTATTTAAAAAAAAAAGTGTTTAGTTTAGTGAGATTTTTGCATGCAAAGGTAGCTTATTAATGATCTATTCAAAACGCTTCACTCGTTGGCATTCGGCGTGTCAATTTTGAGCTGGCATTGCTTTCATGAAATAGATTTCATTTTTTGTCTGAAACTCATGGATGCTACAAATTAATACACAATTAATAGGCGAGTTTTTTTCTTGTATTCAACCAGTTATGAAAATCGGGTAATCAGCACAAATTTTTGCGTTCACCCAACAAATGATTGAACGGTGTTTCAATTTTTCATCATGTCGCACCTAGAGTAATTGGTTGATATGGAGAGTAAAAGAGAGAGAGTATTTCCAGACAAGTATAATGTTCAAAGACAATACGCAAGGCAAGACAACGATTTGGGTAGTTTTTGATCGATGAAAGGTCATTTGGCTATACACAATGACACCAAACATTTCAAACTATGTAAAAATTAGTCACATTATGAACTTTGATTGTTTGTTTTTAGTTTTGTCATTTGCGTCGTTTACTTCTGGAACACGGCTATCATCATTTGCTGTCGATGTACAATTGCTGTCTATCGTTCATTCATGATTAAAAGATAGTTAGACCACTTATGCGCATATAAATTATTTTCAGAGTGAAAGAGGGACACAAAATTATTGAAGAAGAAGAAGAAGAAGAAGAAGAAGATGAAGAATAGTCGACACAAATGCTTTCAATCGTATAATCTATGTAGAGCAATACGGAAATAATGACAAAATAACTGAAAGTGTGTTTCAGTGAAATAGAAATGAGCCCATGAGCGAGCTGAACGATGTACGTATGTGCTTGAAATCGTCGTTTTTACACATACATCGACTGTTGAAGAAAAAGACAACAAGATACAAATGAGTACTAGGTTTGCTTTCAAT